CCATAAAGGTGACCAATTCGAACAAATCTAACCTTGTTCTAAAATTTGATGCTATTTCCGACATTTTTTGCTTTCATTCAATAAAATTAAAAAAAAATGTAAAAATTATGGCATTTGACTTTGTTGCAGTTTTTTTATCTCACCCTATATATGGTAGCTATATCAAAATTTGAACCGACTCTCACTAATTTCAATAGTGTTCGTCCATGGGCCAAAAAACATATTCAGACTCGGAAAGTGATTCTATGAAGATCCTCAAAAGTAATTAGGGGTCTGTCTCGCTTTCTTCTCCATGTTACAAACAAATGCACAAAGACATAATACCGTATGGGTATAAATATTTATTTGTTTATTTATCATAAATTCCATATTTATCTCAGGTCTGTGGTTGAGAGATATATTCAGATGTAGAAAGTTGAAAACAATCAAAAACAATAAAAGTATTGAAAATTGTGACCGTTTATTGGTACTAGATGGGGTTCGCAGATATATATCATTTTCACAACAGATGTTGTGTTAGCAAAATGTTGAAAATCTGTAAAATGTGTGTGAAGAGAATTGACTTCTTATTTCGCCTTCTCGGAGCGTTTTGTTTTTCAATATCTTGAACCCTATGTGGGGGAGGTACCAGAAAACAGATCTTATGTTTATGGAAATATTGAGATGTACAAAGTTTAATTAGAATTGGATGTTTATTCCGCGTTTTATGAGCTTCATGGATATTCAAAATTTTGAGTTTTTGTGGGGGAGGTACCAGATTTGTATACCCTCAGCCATATGGCTAGAGAGGGTATATATCATTTGATATGGCCACAACGTGCTTCATCGAAATAACGGTTGTAGGTCTCTTTGGACCAAATACGTTTCAGAGCATTTGGAGTCGATTTAGTGACGTCCGTTCATACGTCCGTATGTCTGTCTGGTTCGCTGGTATGCACGATAATTCTCAAAGTGGTATCCAATTTGGTCTAAACTTGGTACATCGTAATATTATTATCGAACTTAGATCGAGTTCGGGAGATAGGTCATATCGGTCTACTGCTTTTGGTACCTCCCCATAAAAGGTCGAAATTTTCAAAAAAAAGTATTTGACTGCACAGAAATAGAAAGAATAATCCGATTTGGTCCAACTTTGCTAATCCTAATACTTAACCTAAGGTCTTGTGTAAAGATGAAAAACATCGGTCTACTCCTTCTGGTACCTCCGCCACAAAGGTCGAAAATTTTGAATATCCATGATGCTCATAAAAAACGAACTTAACATCCGATTCCATTCTGAATTTGCACATCTTAATATTTCTATTAACACAAGATCTGTTAAAAGATGGTAGAGATCGAACCACTCATTCTGGTACCTCCCCTACAAAGGGTCAAAGATTTGAATAATCAAAACGATTATAAAATTCAAAAAAAAAAAAAAAAAAAACATCCGGTTCTTTTCATAATTCAAACGTGCCATTGTTTTTACTAACACAAGATCTGCTGTGAAAATGGGATATATCGGCGCGTTCCTTCTTGCACTTCTCCCACAAAGGGTTCAAAATTTTGAAAAACAAAACTATCACAAAATAAAAATCCAACTCTCTTCAAATTGCACACATCCAAACATTTTTGCTAATGGATAATCTGTTGTGAAGATGATAGATATCTGCCAACCCGTTCTGGTACCTTAACCACAAAGGGTCACAATTTACAATACCTATATATGTCATAACTTGCGAAACAAGCCGGCGATTCTTTACAACTTGCTATATATAAATATTTCCCTTAGCTAGAAATCTGATATGAATATGTAATTAATCTAAATGGACAATATTGGCCAACTGCTTCGGAACATCCACCATAAAGGTTCAGTTAGGATAATCATACCTCAAGGCTGGGGGTATACATAAACCGACTGATACTATTTAACTTGTTAAGAATATTTTCAGGGTTTAGATGCTAAAGAAAGTTTTTATTTTCAAATACTTTCTAAAAAATGTGAATTTTTATTAACCGGGTCAAGGTCAAGTCCATGATATCGTATAGCCCCCTATAACGGTACCCCCGATATTTGATATTTTTATGATTTTAGCCATATTTTTAAGGGAATTGTCTGAAATTCTACGCAAGGAGTTCTTTGTGAGCACTTTACCCCCTGAAAGAGAATTGTCCATATAGGTCCACGATACCGTATAGCCCCCATATACGGGTACCGCCCGATATTCGGTATTTTGATGATTTTAGCCAAATTTTTCAACGGAATTGTCTTAAATTCCAGACAAGGAGTTCGCTTTGGGTATTTTACCCCTGAAAGAGAATTGCCTACATAGGTCCATTATATCGTATAGCCCCCATATAACGGTACCCCCCGATATTCGGTATTTTTTATGATTTTAGCCACATTTTTCAACAGAATTGTCTGAAATTCCACACAAGGTGTTGCTTGTGGGCATTTTACCTCCTGAAAGAGAATTGTCTTTATAGGTCCACCATATCGTATAGCCCCCATATAACGGTACCCCCGATATTCGGTATTTTGATAACTTTAGCCACATTTTTCAATGGAATTATCTGAAATTCTACACAAGGAGTTCTTTGTGGGTACTTTACCCCCAGACATAGATTTGTCTACATAGGTCCACAATATCGTATATCCCCCAAATATATGGCATCTGTTATTCTTAAAAAATACTTCCCATAAGGTCTCTATGGATTAAAATCATGGATTTTTGGTTAGTTTTAGTACTATTTCATTTCAGAAATCCTAGATTATTTAAGAAAACTTTTTCATGGGCTTCAATAACAAGAATTTTGAATTTTTCTATATTTTAAAATAACCACATAAGATATTAGATATATTTGTTGGATTTTCTTAAAAATATTTTGAAAATATCTTTGCTAAAAATCTTGCCAAGAAAACTTTTTAAATGACACTCAGCCTAGAAATTGCAAACTACATGTTACAAAGATCTTCCTAGTTATTTTTTTAAATATTCCCAGCAAACAATTAGATTTTTTTTTTTAAAAATTACTTTGCAAATAATACAAACCATAGAGAAAATGATGCTACATGGCACCAAAGATGTGCTAGATTACACTTCCCAGAGCCCTATATGTAGCCCCACTAAACATGATGCTTATAAAACACATTTTCCACATTTCCATAAAAGATTATTAACTACTTTTGTGTTTGTCTATGCAATTTCTATATTTATCTCATTTTCCCTAGAAAATTAGTTGAGCAATTCTCGGTAGATTTCTGCATTTTAATTGCCTTCCACACGACTACATCAACAATCAGTGCACTGGTATGGAAAAGTTATATTATTTTGAAATTCATTACAGCCTTTTAATGGCTTTCCGACAAAGTGCACATGTTAAACAATCCAACATTGGCGTAAACTCATTACAGAACAAACCTAATAAAACATTTCACAATTAGTGAAAAGTTTTGTGAAATAATTTAATTATGGCAATTTAGAATAAATGTAAATAGTGAAGTTTTACAATTTTGAATACGCTAAGGTATGAAATGAATAATTTTTAGGGAATAAGCGAGCAGTTTTTTGCTTGATTGTATGATAAGGGGTTATTATCATATATTAGAGAGCTTTAAAATTTTTTAACCATTTTACAGGTTTATATCCATTTCAATAAGAAACGAAGGGAATATATAAGGATCAGATTTATCTAAATCTGATCCGATTAAAGTTAAATTTGAAGGAGTTGTTATTGTATGTGGTATCTTGTATCTGAAAAAGATATTAGAGACTAAGATAGAATAAGTGATAAGTACTTTACGACTTTATAAAAAACGCAATAAAAACACTATTTTTTGGATAAAAAAAGTTAGAAAGCTTTAGTTGTACCATATAGTACACATAAGTACGAATTTACAAAAATATCTACATTTCTCAGTCCTAGAATGCAATTGAAATTATATTTCCAAGTTTCAGAATTCCGACTCTATAGGTTCTCCAAAAATTTTAAAGGATTCCAGCTCTATCGGTTCACCCAAATCAAAATTGTACCAAATTGTGTACCATTTAGTACCGTTCCTGCACATAAATAAAACTTCTGAAAATTACATCCATACCCCAGTCCTACTCTCCGCCAGTAATGTTAATTTCAAATCTAAGGACTACAGCTCCATACATTCCTTCATATTGCAATTGTACCAAATTTTGTACCGTTTAGTACTTTTCGGATTAATGAGTTCACACTTCCAAAATTACCTCCTTACATCGACCCTACTCCTCAACTTCCATTTCCTTTCCAAATTTCAAGTTTTTAGCTCTAACCGTTCACATAATCAGAATCGTACCAAATGTAGTACATTTTAGTACTTTTCGTACACTTAAAATGCGAATTTCCAAAATCCCTTTGGAACATCAAACCCTTATTCCAAAGTAAGGAGTTCTAGCTCTACTGATTCAACAAATACGAATGGTATCATATTTAGTAACTTTTAGTACTTTTCGTACCGTTCTAGTACGAAGTTCCATAAACCAAGCCTCACCCAAAATTTCAGGATTCTGGCTTCATCCGTTTCGTCTGGGCGTTGAAATTTTGCCGGCAGAGATATTACCCTCACTTGCCAACCGTAATTTGTACATTTGGACTCTTAATTGTCAAAAGACATTTCCTTAAAAGAAAGATCACATATTGACATAGTCCCGTTAGGATTGTTAAAATGTGTTTAATGTCCTTATTTTATTGAGGAAGTCCACCTTAAAATGTATTTCCAAAGGCCATATTGATTTTAGGCCCCAAGGATTTTTAAGCCAATTTGTTTAAATGAATCTGCAAATTTAGAAATAGCCCCATACAAGAACAAAACATAGCAACTGACATTTATAACAGTCTTAGGTATCACTTCCCAATCGAAAGATTGGTCTGAAATATACGTTCTCAGCGTCGAATTATGGAAAGCTCCGCCGATTTATTCTATTGGAATGATCCATTGCCTTCAAATTATTTAAATTGTTGATATAACGATGACTTGTAGATTTTCTTACCCGTCAATAAAACTGCATTCACAAACATATATGGATGGGCCAAAATCTCTTTTTTTTCATAGTTTGTAACTTTCCCGATTTCCACGTATTTTTGTAACTTTCTGATTAGCAGTACAGCATAAATACTTCCCAGATTTTCTCAAGATATTCCGACCGTATTTTTATTTAATTTATATCATATACAATTTAATTTTTCTTCAACAATAGACGACAAAAATTGTTTTCTTATGGATATTTTATAATGAATGACACAATTCGCCTGGCATGTTTATGTTTTATGTAAAAGGTATACTTGTTGCTAGTAGCGTTTCTAGATAATAAGAACTCAAAATCACAAACTTGGCGAAATTAAAAGAAACAAGTAAAAAAGCTGTACGTTCGACCGGGCCGAACTTTGAATATCCTCCAACATTTGGTACAAATTTGGCAATTTTCAAAAAATTAAAATCCATTAAAAATTCTGTTAAAATCTTAAAAATACCGAATGTAGCCGTAAATTAGGGTCTATACGACGACGTGGACATGCATACGTAACTTTTGTCATAAGCCTGCACAGACAATTTTCTGTCATAGGCTGCAATATCCATTACGAACTTCAAATACTAAATTTGAAGTAGTTCCGGTAAATAATGTCGCTAAAATCATCAAAATACCGCATATCGGGAGGTACCGTTATATGGGGGCTATACGAAGATCTGGACCTACGTGGCTTATTTTCTGTTTTAGGCTGCAAACTTCAAATACCAATTTTGAACCAATTCCGGTAAATAATGTCGCTAAAATCATCAAAATACAGCATACCGGGAGGTACCGTTATATGGGGGCTATACGAAGATCTGGACCTACATGGCCCATTTTCAGTACCAAAAGTCCTACAGACATAATACACATTTGAATAAATTTTTATCGACTTACTTCATTTCGTTCGGAAGCTGGAGTGATTTCCACTGACGGACAGAGGGACAGACGGACGGACATTGTTAAAACGACATAGAATTTTATGCTTATCAAGAATATATATACTTTGTGGGGTCTAAAATGTATATTTCGTGTTGTTACAAACGGAATGACAAACTTAATATACCCTCCATACTATGGTGGAGGTTATAAAAATCTTTCTAAAATGCCAAAAAAAATCTTATATAGAAGCTATGTAAAAAAGTGGATCGACATAATCCATTTTTTTTAAACCAATATTTATTGAAGTAATCCGAATCGCTCTGTACATTTTCAAAGCTTTATATTATACTAGCTGGCCCGGTCCGCGTTGCCGGCCCGTAGTTTTGGTCTATTATGCATATTTGTCAAAGCATAATTCATCACAGATATGACTGATATAAGTGTTCGCGTACTGGTCGATTAAAAGTGTTTTAAAATACCTGTACCCATATTTAAGCCGTGGGCTTCAATATTTAAACCGTGGGCTTCAAAGGTGTGGATGTGCTATACAAATCTATTAAAAAGTATATATCAATCTTATCCCCATGTAAGGGATCAAATTAATTTTTAGTATGGTAAAAATCGTAGCAACATTTTCCAGTCAAATGCGCAGTAATTTGGAATTTGCCGTATTTTGTACACCTCATAATTGTACACCTCCCAAATCTACGTTTCCAACCAATATTCTCTTGGGAGTTACAAATTCAATAGAATACAAAATTTTCTTTTCTGATCACACATTATATGTGAAAGTGGACTTGGGGACTTATCTGTGTGATGGTTCCCTAACCCCTTACAAACAAAGATGCCAAATAAGGGCCAAACGATGAAAAAAGTGGCAAAGACCCCAAAAATAGCTTAAATCGTATGATGGTTATATAAATATGAAATCGGGGTGTACCTTTATAGTGAGTTATGATCGATATCATGACCTGCAAAAGTGATTTAAGGTATCTTGAATGTTTGTGAAGAATTTCTGGAAGGATAGATAACCTTTTGTTACTAAGAGTCCCATTCGCTCTACTATTCTGCATCCTTTAAATTTGGCATTTTACTGATTGTACTCCCAAAGAATTTTGCATTTTGAGCTCTCATTGGGCGGATTATTGTCTCATGAAGGAAGTAGGTCTACGCTTTGAAATGAGCTCCATTAGGCTTTTTCTGTCATTTTTGGTTGTTTTAATGTGTTCGCATCTTCCATCTGAACCCCGATGTCGGCCCTGTAGTTGAAAGGTAGATTCATTCATTATTTTCATTATTTCATTTTTTTGTGAAAAATTGTATATAGTGAAAAATTATTCTTTATTATGTTCACGAAAAATCCACTGAATGAATGATAATACAAATTGAAAAAAAAAATGACAAAGGAAGAATAACATTTGAAAAAATGTTCAACTTGTTCGCTGATTTATTACAGCAAATGTTTAAAGACCCTTACTATTATTTTAAAATTCGATTCCACTGAAAATTTTTTCGATTCTTTCCCGATTTGAGAATTTTTGCAATGAGATCTCTTTTTCGAGATTTTTTAGCGATTTTGAAAAAGTAATTATCTTTTAATTAATAATTATCTTTCTTTTGGTGTGACCGCGTTAAATTATTTCGATATCATCTATTCCGTTTCGCCACCATATAATTCGGTACTACACTTCCATGTAACCCGCCATCAACTTCAGTTCTCAAGAAATCAAGTCAATTAAATAAATTGGTATTAATATTTGAATTCAAAAATAAAATATATAAAAACACTACAAATGTATATTAGAAAAAAGTAAGTCAAAATGGAAAAAAATCATGCAAAATAAAACATTACTATTGTACATTTGAAAAGTCAAAATGAAAATGTTAATATATCACATTTTTACGCGATTTTTTTGGATATTATCCTTTTCGGAGAGGAGACAACTCCGAATTTGTGTGAATCGTTAAAATCAGTCCAGCGGTTCTTAAGTTTTAAGCGTAGTAACTAACACAACTTACATTTATATATATAGATACTGTGAATTATATCTGTAAATATTTGAACTTAAGCAGTTATATAACCTTGACCATATGTAAGGTCAAGTTTATATAACTGCTTAAGGCCTATTACCGCCATATGTGAAGCAATTTTTAACATTTATTCTACAATACTGTATAGTACAGGGTGAGATAAAAAAACTACAACAAAGTCAAATGCCATAGTTTTTACCATTTTCTTTACATTTTATTGAATGAAAGCAAAACATGTCGGAAATAGCATCAAATTTTAGAATAAATTTAAATTTGTTCGAATTGATTACCTTTGGCACGAATTATGGCCTTCAAACGGCCAATGAAACCGTCACATGCTGCCCGAATATAGCCACCTGCGGTTTTCCAGCCAAATATAAAAAATTACACTATTACGCTTAAATTCAATCACGAATAACTTTTTTTCTGGAAAATTCTCACCAAAATGCTTTTGTACGCTTGTAAACAGTATAATGAGCTGTCACTGGAATAATTTTAACAGCTGTCGGACGAGTGGCTTAGAAATGACAGCAGTCTGAAGTTGGTTGCCGTTTTTTCATCAGCTCAAATTTTTTATGTCTCATTCGAGTTGGTGTTTAAGTCCCTCACATTTGAAATATGCATTCCAAAACACTAATATTTTGTACCAGATATCAGCTCAGAAATACCTCTGGCAAATTTTATCGAAATCGGTTTAAATTTAGATATACCTTATATTCTATATATTTTTCCGATTTTACTGTTATTGTGCACTAAACATGTCATATCAGCCCAAATTGGATAGATTGTTGCACATTCAACCGAATTTTTCCGTTTAGGGGAACTCTGGACCCATATACCTATTGCTCCGATATATAACATTTTTTTTAAGTAAATTCTGGACGAAATCATTTCAAGTACTCTATAATAAAGGTATTTGGTAGGAGAAGTACAAATACCTCCGTCAAATTTGGTAAAAATAGATTCGGAGAGGAATATAACTCCCATATATTAGTTCCTTTCTACTCTAAATTATAACTCTACCCCCATAATATGCATTCAAAATAGTTTCATAGTAGGTATGATCTACTTCACATATATTCCAAATATAAACGTCTATTTAATTGGCATAGTGGTGTATGATTTTATATAGCCGGCCCCGCCCGACGCCTAACCTTTCTTTATAGATATTCTAAGATAATTGCTTTTTTTTTCGATCGGTCCCAACGCCACACTCACCCGCCCCTGCCGACCGAGGGGGCCACCTCCCAATTACGTAGGGAGCGCGTACACCCCATAGTCCGAACTATGGAGGGTTAGTACGTTAGGGAAACCAGCTACAGTTATACATCAGCCGGTTGTTTGAATTCACAAATAAAGACAACACACAGGAAATAAAACAACATATAACAGATAAGAGTAGAGAATCTGGCAACTACTTGCTTTAATACTAAAGATGTAAAATAGTGTGTTTAATGACATGCAAAGGGTCTGTCAATGATATCTCATTATATAATTTGTTGTAGATATCACATAAAGACCTCATAGGATTATAAGATTCATAATTGGATTTAGCCAAGCAAAGTTTAAGTGGTATGTAATTTCGAGTATTACGAGCAGGAATATTAAAATTTAATTCACCGGTTAAAAACTGTGAATCGATTTCGCCACGCAAAAGTTTTATAATAAATAAAGCTCTTAACATTAAACGTCTCTTTTCCAGTGTCGGAAGATCAATTAGTTTTAGGCGATTCTCATATGGTGGAAGTGTATCATTTATGTCCCATCCTAATCCTCTGAGAGCAAATAAAAGAAATTGGGTTTGTACTGATTCCAATTTAGCAGAATATGTTTTGTAAAAAGGACTCCACAATACGCAACCGTATTCTAAAGTGGGCCGAACCAAACTAATAAATAAACGCTTAGTCACATAAGGATCGTCAAATTCTTTTGACCATCTTTTTATAAAACCCAGCAATGACTTGGCTTTATTCACACATGAATCAATATGCAAATTAAAACGCAATTTATTGTCTAAAATTACACCAAGATCAACGAATGAGTCTACATTGTCCAATTTGTAAGAACCAATGAGGTAATCATTTTTAAAAGGTTGTGTTCTAAACAAAGACAGTTTTTTACATTTCTTGAGATTTAGCGTCATACCATTAGCACTGCACCAATTAACAAGGCAGTAGATATCATGTTGCAAGTTAAGGGAACTAATGTGAGAGTCCATATTACAAAAAAGTTTGACATCATCAGCAAACATTAGGATCTTAGAGTAACGTATAACCGTTGGAAGGTCATTTAGATACAATACAAAAAGT